ATAGGTCAATTACACTGAAGTAGGACGAGGAGGACAAAGCATCGATAGAATCGTCTTGTCGTGGAATCTAATGCGAATCCCGTACCGTAACAGCATTCAAAGCTCTGTAGTCAACACAAAACCTGTAAATCTTGTCCTTCTTTCGCACCATAACGATGGGGCTTGCCAATGGACTAAAACTTTCCTTGATGATGTCTTGACGAAGTAGCTCATCAACCTGGTTCTGGATCTCGACTCTCATAGTCGGTGAAGTCCTGTATGCCCTTTTACGAGTTGGTGTCTCTGTTGATGTAGTGATGTCATGGTAGGCGAGGTTAGTCTGTCCAATATCCTCGGATGTGCTGCTGAAAACATCAGAGTATGAATTGAGTAGACTTTCAGCATACTCGGTCTTGGACAGACTAGAAGTAGGAAGCATTGACGAAGCTTGAAAAGACTAACTTTTCTGTGTGCCAGCTACAATACTGTCGATGATTTCATATTCTTCCTCACCGTCCCCAGTAGTAGAATAAAATTGCCCAAGGGTGGTGTCTGCAGATAATTGTACTGTCTCAGATGAAGGGTTTATCAGCCCGAGTAAGATGATACCGTCCTGCGGTCAAGTTAGAGACCTTGCACCTGCTACGTGGAGATGTTCATGGATGGAAGGCTCAAAGATTCCATCGTAGTCTTGTGGAATCACATCAGGCTGAGGGGGGATAAGGCGGCCTTGGACATGTACCTCACTCATTCCAGGAAGAGTTGCCTTTCCTATCAGCGAAACATTGCACTTGAGTGGTACTTGATATTGACGACGGTCGACCAGTGGAATACTCATACCAGGCATAGTGAATGTCGTAGTAGATAGAGTGGCATCATGTTTGAACATGAAATCCCAACCAAGGACGAAAGGATGAGTTATGTTCCTTGCAACATTGAACATATGTCTGGTTGTTTTGTTACCAAGATGGATGGTGGGAGAGGTTGTGCCAATGATGTCAATGCCTTCTCTGGTTATCGTTGAAGCCAGAGTTGTTGACTTCTGTAATATACTTCGCTGGCTTTCTGGGATGGAGTAGTAGAAATCTGCACTCATCAGTGATATAAATGAACCACTGTCAATAAAAGCCAAAATATATGAGTTGTCAACGATTGCTGGAATATATGGTGGCGGAGGTGAAGGAGAAGAATGATCATTAACGGCCGAAGTAGATGGAGGATGAGATTTGTTTTCAGTTTCAATCTGTTTGGTCAAGAGTGGTGAAGTTGATGAGTGACCCTCCTCACCAACTACCAGTAGTTTCCCTGGTCATCGAAACGAACTTTCCTGTGTTGTTCACTGTCCAACTGATGATAGGGGGTATCTCTTGCATCAGATGGGTGGCGGTTGTCAGAACGTGAAGACTGCCAGTTAGCTTGGTTGGAGTATCTTGACTGTTGTGGGCTAGCAGATCTACCATCATATGCATTACGCCTGGGTGTGGTTGAACCGCGAAGTGTGCGATGATTTGTAGGGCTCTGAGTGCGGTGGTGACGTAAGGGGCTAGGCGACCTGAAGCGTCGTTGGTGTGGTTGGTATGGGCTAGGCGATCGAGATGGTTGGCGATAATGATCATCTGCATATCAGCGATTTGACCTAGATGGGTGGTCATATGGGCTGGGTGATCTTGGTTGGAGATGACGACCATCAGAGTATTGAGATCTTGGTGTAGAGTGGCGTCTCTCCAACTTGAGCTCCAGCTCATCCAAACGTTTCAAGACCTTTTCAAGCATCGCCGAGGTGGCATCCCTCGTCGGAGAAGTTGACGCTATAGTAAAGTCTGTTGCCACTGATGGTTGCCCCAACCGGTTCGGCCTTTCCACTCGCACAGCAATCTCCAGCGCTTCGTTAAACGACGTTGCACCCATCTCATGAATTCTGATCTGCAGGGAATTGTCGATACTGGCGAGAAATCTGCGAAATTTCTCCCCATCCTTTCCTGCAGTGTCATAATTAGGGAAGGCTTCTTCCACTAGTGTCGTACATGCATCGATACATGACTTGAACGTGGTCAAATAATTAGTATTCCCCAAAACAGCAGAAAGTTTCTTTCTAACCACACTGTACTCTTGTTGTTCTGTGCTGTCTGGGGAAGAACTTCAACCGCTACTTCCAGCCTTCGTACCCACTGCCCAAAATTCCTACCGTCTTCTCCAGTGAAGACCTCAGGGAGGTCTAGACGAAATGTACTCGTGATATCTGAAATCAGTAACACTTGAAAGTCAGTCTTGAATTGCAAGCATTAGTACACCTGAAATTGCAAGAACACATCTAACCCACTATGAAATGTGTTGAGTCCATACAGGTTTCACACTGAAAAGCATGGATCTCACTACACCGATTCACTCTGAAATTTCACTAACTTCAGATTATGCATGTAGAAGAATTCGCGAAGAAGGAAGAATTCTACCGAAGCAGGATGAAAAATAACATTGGCAGGAGCACAGTAGAAACAGTTCCTTTCGAAAAGGGTGAACTAAATTACCGGAAGTAGGAAGCAAATTCATGAAGCAGGGCGTAACTGTATCAATCGAAGCAGGGTGAAAAGATAACCAAAACCTTGACTATCAGCCGCTGCTGGATGAAGCTGCCTGAAGCTCTGGGGAAGAAGAGGCTAGAAAAACACCGCTGCCACCAATGTAAGGTTGCGGTTCTAACAAATTCCTAGCGCTCTTAAGTACACAGAGGCAGCCCAGCAGACATGTTGTACGATTGATAACTACTGGCTAATTGACCAGGTTTTAATGTAGCAAAGCATTACAGCATTCTATGTAGCATTCCACATACATTCCATGCAAAGTAGAAGAAACCAATAAATATTCATATAGTCCCACACAAGTATAAATCAGCATCACAAAGTATTCTTGAATATTCAAACATAAACAAAGAGTATATATTGAATATTCATAGTATATGTAAATTTTACTATAAGCTTGACTGCATCAGGTGAACATTGAAACCAATGAGAGAGAGAGATAGACAGATGAAAGGATGGTGGATGAAAAGGGTGAATGTGAATGAGGCCCGGCCCCCCCACTCAGTGTTATTTAGGGTATGCATATGCGTGTTCCAACCGACCCCCCCCTTTTCAGCAAAAGTCCGGTGTGTAAAGTCAATACGGCTCGACCTTTTTCTTTTGTATACAAGCCTTTTTCAGCAAAAGTCCGGTGTGTAAAGTCAATACGGGTCGACCTTTTTCTTTTGTTACGAAAAGGACATTTTGGCAACACGCATGGGGTCCGTCCATTCTCGGAGTGGGGGGGGGGGGGGGCCGGGGAATGAGGGATGACCTATTAATATGAAAGGGATGAATCATGGATATGAGGGGGAGTTTCAGAAGTTCAAAATAAATCCCTACACTAGTACTGTCTTGATTCTTGTGAAGCGAATACTAAAACATGCCCTAGCCAAAGTACCCTTATCCATTTTCTGGAAGGCACAGCCATCAATTGGTTGCGGTTAAATACTGCCACCAATCTAAGACCCAATTGCAACCCTGTCCTAAAACCTACATCTTTGAGGAAATACAACCTGGACCTACTGTTGCAGGAGCTAATCCTGGATCAGCTTTATAGCGAACTACATGTATTCTACACAAGACCCACAACAACCGAGACATTCAATATTTGTCTCATGAACCCTCTGAAAAATTGTCAGAAGGACTAGGAAACTGACATAATGGTCTCGAGGGGCTTAGATAACTTGTCAGAAGTACTACGAGACCTGACGTAATGGTCTTGGGGTTTTCAGATATCTTTTCAGATGGCCCACAAGACTGAAATAATGGTCTTGTATGGATCAGATAATTTTTCAGAAGGACTAGGATATCTCACCGTTTATTGGTCTCCTGGTTTTCAGATAGCTTTTCAGAAAGTACTAAGAAACCTGACATAATAGTTTCCTGGGGCTCAGATAACTATTCAGAAGGACCAGGAGACTGATATTGCCAGTTTCATGGGATGTAGCCATTTTCTTTAACGGGGACGTTTCTCACTTTCAATTCTCAAATTCAATCTTCTAGACGAGGTACAAGACGGGCATTCATCATCTTCAATCCATGAGTAGATCGGCAACCTCCGCCACATCGTTATTGTTGTCGTCAAGAAGTTTTTGAAGCTTGGAAGGTGTCTTCTTAGGGAACATCTCCAGCAGCTTCAGGAGTTCTGGACTTTGTGAGACGGATGTTTCACTCTGTGGAGGTTTCCTCCCTGCGTCAAACCTTCTTAGGAATCTCTCATTAGTTGTGGCATGATCATCCTTTAAGAAGTTAACTTCTCTTGCATTTCTTCTTCTTGCGTTTTCTTCAGCTGTTTGTCGAGCTTTAGCTTTCTTTTCTTTAAACTCCTTATCTTCTCTCTCCCTATTTTCTCTCTGCCATTGTTCTTTTTTCAGGATCTGTTCATATTTCTTGTTTCGATGCTGCTTCTCTAGGTCCAGCCTAGCCTCTTCCTCAGACTTACTTCCACCTGCACAACGAGCTTCTCCGCGTATAGTAGTTGGTGTCTTGGAAGCCCTGTAATCTTCAAGAGCCTTCATCTCTTGTAAAGACTCTTTGTAACCTCGTATGTGCGTCGCCATATTCTTGTGCCTTCCAGTCTAGTTCTCTAGTAGGAACTCAGTGTTGTTTTGCTCTGGTTCGTAATTTTCCTAATGTCAAATGATAATGATTGAACATGTGATTTTCATTACCAAATGTTGACTTCTCATGAGAGTTGTTTATGTTAATTCCACTGGAAACACAAATACATGAAATGTAAGCTAAAAATTGGTGATTTCGCATTGCCAATTTAAAGCTATAAACGTAAAAAGGTGCAGGTTTGGAGCGTTGCTGAATTCAGCAAACTCTTCGAGTCTTGTACACCAACTAATCACTATTGTCGTGAAGGCACTGGATGATCAAATACCCTGGACTCTAAACCCAGGCAATTCTTAGCCTTTGACTCGATGGAAAATGTCATATTTGTGTATGTTTGTCCTACAGGCAGGAGATGGCGTACTTTGAAAGGTTAACTAAGACCGCTCAGATGGAAGGAATGAAGAATGCTGTTATCATGGGAAGGAAGACATGGGACTCAATACCAGAAAAATTTAGACCCCTGAAGGACAGAGTCAATGTCGTTCTCAGCAACTCTCTGACGTAAGCATAGGTATATCTAGACCAAAAATTTCTGTCTCTTTCGTTCGTTAGCCTCTCTAAAGAGAAGAGCCGACCCTACCCAAATAAGAGGCTAACGAACGAAAGAGACAGACATTTTCGGTCTAAGGTACAGTATATCCGGATGTTGTGTGTCTGGACAGGTTGTTTATACGGAGAGTTAATTCAAAAAAGTTAACAAGCAATATTTCATAAATCTTTAAAGACTTATGTTAGACAATATTACAAAGGATAAATCTTTATGATGGTTAGTGCAATTTGATGCATACATTTTTTTTATTGTCAGCATAGTGATACACAACCCTATATCATACTTACCTGGTAGTTCATATTACAAGTGTTTAAAAGTATTGAGACTGTATAGTACAAGTGTATAATCTATCTTGTTGACTTGGGTAGCTGATAAAATTCATAGGAGGTGGGAGATGTGGAGGAGGGGGGGGGGGGGGGTTGGGGAGGGCTGAGGCGGTAGTTGTACGAGGGTACATGTGCAGGTGTTAGAGGGAGGGGATTATTATGGAGTTATCCAAGAATATTGGTCACCATGTGGGGGGGGGGGAGGGGGGCAAGGTTTTAGTTCAGGGGGTAGTTGTCCAGGAATCTATTTGAATGTATTCTTGGGTTAATTGTACGTCTAAAATTATTCTCTATTCTCTGCACCTTTATTTCTGAGGCCCCATTCTCAAAATGATCTGTGTAGTTGCCTCTAAAAACTACCACAGCATATTAAAACCGTTTAATGTGTCAATAAGTGGCAAAAGGGGGTGAAAGGAAGAATAAAGTGAAATAACTTACCTTGATAAGATACATACTGTACACGTAAATATGAAGCACACTACACTTACATTGTAAGTCACTTCATCAGGCCGCGACGCTATGCGAATGGGGCTGCACTTCTCTCTGACTTGAGTATGTGAAATATTTTTTTAAAGGGAATGTCCACCCGGTGCAGATCATCTATGTTCATCTTTAAACGAAGCTGTGAAGCTGTTTTCCTCACCTCCTCTTTCGGAGACAGTTGATATGGTGTGGATAACAGGAGGTAGTGCAGTCTACAAGGTATGAAGCACTGTATCTGCTCTGCTCTACTCTGAAACTTGCACATAAAATGATTCACACTGGCCATGGCATGCATTCTGGAAAAGCATTCCACATTTTGGGTCAATAATATTTGACTAGAACCCTAAAAATATATCAGATGTATGAAAAGAAAGGGCAAAAACTTTAAACATAATTATATTGTCTATTTTTTGTGTTTGATACCATGGATTAAAAAAAAACTATTTAAAAAAAAAAAAAAAAAAATTGGCAACATGTTGAGAGGTTAAAAACTGCTGTTTTTCTATGAAAATTTTCAACTATTTGTTAAAGTCTTAACCATGCATATTGTGTTCAGAGACTTTTCATTTTATTAGAACAAATTAGGGCTAATTGTTAATTAATGTCTGTTAAAATATGTTTTTTAAATATTGATGAACTCTACACTAACTTCAAGATGAGTTGCATAAAGGAAGAATCAATGCTGTCATCAAGTAGGTTTCCTCACTTTTTTTATTCATTTGAATTGTGATATAATTGACGCAAATTGATAGACAACCCTTTTATACTTTAATTATTTGAATATACAACTATATCAAAGACTTAATTTGTTACAGATGAATGATGATGTTAACCTACAATCCCTGTTCGTTATCATGACTAGGATGGAATCGACTCTCCTCACTGTCATCGGATTTATCTCACACGAATCATGAAGGAGATAGAGTGCGACACATTCTTCCCAGAATTCGACCTCGACAGATTCAAACTAGTCACGTAAGTTGCACATCTTTGCAGTTTCTTCTTTTTTTGTTAATTTTTCTTTCTTTTTCACAGTGTTATGAATATCTTACAAGTTTATTCCCAACCTCACAAACTGCACAATATAGATTGAAATATTTATGACATGAAGTAGCCAAATATATGTTACTGCATGATGCATCAACAGGCTGCATCAACCAGGCAAACTAATGTTGAAGAACTCCCTCAATCAAGAAAAACACTTGTGAGTAAAATGCCATGCAAATTATTTTGTGTGAGGTCAGGTAAACAAAATATCAAAAATCCTTTGTTTGGAAGCATAGAGAAACGTTACATGTGTACATTATAATTTGATACGCACTATACAAGAAAGGCATATTACTATTATTATTGAATATCATTGTGATTATTATTACTATTATTATTGTTGTTGTTGTTATTATTAGTATTATTGAAGAGATGGCAAGTCTTACTCTTAAATCACCTATTAAAACAATATACATTAAAAAACAACATTTTTGGCGAGATGGGAGATGAGAATGGGGTGATAAGGAGACGGGAAGAAGAGAAAGATACAGACAGATTGTCTAACAGACAGAAATAAAAAATGAGAGAGATATAAGATAGAGAGAGAGAGAGAGAGAGAGAGAAAGAAACAGATAGATCATAGAAAGAAAGAAATGGGGCCCTGGGGAGACAGGCAGAGTGACACTGGAGTAGGGAGGGGGGGAAGAGGAGAGAGAGAAAGGACAATATACACACAAATCGTGGGAGAGGGAGAGAGACAGAGCAAGCCATAGTGTAGTAAACAATGAATGAGAAAGAACTTGTATATTATAAGCCTATTAAATGCATTGATCAGTCCCATCAAACATGATGAAGGGCTCCCTCTATTTGAGAAGAAGTACTTGTCAGTAAAATGCCTTGCAACTCTTTGTGAGGTCAGATAAAAGCCATTTTACTGTCTTAAAATACCGAGTAGACATCTGGTAAATCCCAGACATCGTAGACATTTTTAATGTCAAGTTTTGGACAGGCAAGGCCAACTCTTATCTGATCTGACTCTTATCTGACTAAAAGATGAGATAACCTATTAAAATGATATGAGTCTATTATTAATTCTACAGTTTGATAGGATACAAGGGGAAAGGTGATGTGGTTTTTTCTAATCTTAATGCATCAATACTCTATGTATTAGAATAATCATTGGAGATCTGAACTCTTTTTAGCTCGGTTATAACTTTTTACCAAACAGAGGTCAACATGAAAATGATTAATTCTTCAAATATGATACATTTTCTTTGCTTTCCTCCCCCTCCCCCCCCCCCCCCCCCAAAAAAAAATCCAGAGATCCTGCAGTCGACCAAGACACTCAAGAAGAGAAAGGCATCCAGTACAAATTTGAGATCTATGAAAGTTCCTCCTAGCACCTGCCTTGGCCATGCCTTGCCCCGCCCTGCCGATCCCTCATCTTTAACATATACAGCTCTCTTAATATCCATTGGCATATTCAAAAAAGTTGTGAGGTACTTTCTGTGAAGGAGTGAAGAAGCAACTGATTTTGATTTAATGATGATATTTGGAGCTTTGTGGGGTATTTTTAACATGAATTGGGATCATGCAGTAGCTGAAGACTACTAATTCGAAACGATTCATTCTTCTTTGCATGTTATATGCTCTAAGCAAGGAAAGTATTCATTATTTGTGTGTAATTTGTAAGTAGTTTTCATGAGGTGAAGTGGTCTATTGTTACATCACAGCACAACAAAGGGTTTCTGACTTCTTCTTGCATTCAATTTTGAATACCGGATATGGAAAAAATGTTTCTTAACTACAAGTGTTCATGAAAAGTTCATCAAAAATCATGGGACTTTTCATCAGCAAATGTCCAATTTGGGATCCCACATGGTAATTATATCTAAAAGAGAAGTGTGTAGTTTGGCAATTGATGTTTTGTTAGAGTACATATCAAATAATACTTGTTGTGCCATGATTTGTTTTTGTTTTTGCACCTCTGACTATGTCGAGAAAGAAAACTTGAATGGACTCTTATTAAACAAAGAAAAAGTGACTTCTTCTTTGCATCTGTATGAATGATCAACATCATGAATGAAAACAAGGAGCATTTAAAATGGAAAATGTTGACTCTTCTGTCATGTGATGTAGTGTATTTTGAAGAACAAATTTGAAGTGTTTTAGGGGCTAAAGTTTCTAGTGCTTAAAAACATAAAACATCCACAGGGGCATCCAAATGTCTAAATTTTAAAGAATTACTATCCATCCAATTTTCAAAATTTTTCAAAACTTTGCATTACCTTTAAAGTACTCGTTCAAAGAAAATCACAAATATGACAAATAACGTATCACGGTTGAGCATTGTTTAAAGTGAGTGGACGGACCTGCAGAAAAACAGCCTTTGGCTGAAGTTGGCATATAATGAACTGAGTTTAACTTCTCTTCAGCTGCCAGTATAACACTTTTAAAGGCAGGCTGTAGCACTCATTTGCAAACTCTTAAGTAGTAATGAATCAAATATATATTTAATATTTTGAGCGGAAGAAATTCATTAGCTTTTAATTAAAAAAAATACTGTGCTATGGCTTTTAATCCTACCATTTTCAACTCCCCTCATAGTTTGCTGATGGTTGAAAGTAACTTTACTAGACAGTGTATCCCAACATTCAGTTGGACAAGCAGGGTTAGTTTGGATACTGTTCTTGACAAGGCACACCAAAGTTTGGATTTGTATGTAAACAAAACAAAAAAATAATTATGTATAGTACGTAACTTGTTTTCGATAGAGAATCGTGTACATTCCAAATATCTGCCATTTGATGCTCTTAGTTATTATATCCTATACTCATTAAAGAGTATGATTATTTCTATGACTTTGATATTTGACAATCAAAAGACCTTTAACTCATATGCATGGCTGTGTGAAAACACCATATGATGTATCTGTAAGCAAACAAAGCGTGTTTAAAAACCAGTTAATCCAGAATATCTTCACATCTGATATTGGTGCGACTTGTTATCTTATCCCTGGTCAAGTTCAGGTTCAGGGGCCCGTTTCACAAAGCATATTTTCAATGACAAATGACAAAAATCAGTGACAAATCTGCTGATAACCAATCAGAAGCAAGGATTTCGGTAGCTTATAACAAAAACTGTCAGTTGTCACTGATGACAAGTTTTTTGAAACGCCCCCCCTCCCCCAGGTGCTTGGTTTGCAGGCAGAAAGATCTTGTCAGTCGCTGTGCATAACTGTCTGTTCTGTGAGACTAGGCTGACAGCATCCTGCACAAGCTCGGTACTTTAGCTGCTCTGACTGACACAGCAAGCTCCCAAGTATTTTACTGATGAAGCAAAACTTATAGACAAAAATGTAGTATTGTCCATAATCAGTTACTAGTTGCTGCTCCTTTTGGTGCAATTCTTAGTTTAGGAATATGATTATATCTGCCAATTTTTATTGTAGTATATTGTAGGGCATGAGCAATTGTCATGCCTGATGCGAATCACGACTGACACACGTGATGGAAATATAGAAGTAAATTATACGAGTCATAAAAAATGTGATAAGGGTATGATAACAAATTCTATTTTTTCATAACACGTGATGGGGGTATGATAATGGTTTTGTTTTGCATATATACGATGTATCTAGTCACGTGTTAGGTGCGTGAATTATATCACCCCAGCCATAGCCTTGCTGCATGCCCTGGTGAGGTGATTAGATAATTAGCAAGACTTTGCAATTTTCATTTAACCCATAGCCTACAGGATCTGGGCTGTCCCTTTGTTTGCCTTTGGGAATAAACAATGTAATAGCCACTTGGTTAATTATTTTATTGTCTTGTCTTAACCCTCTTGTATGAAGTGTCTGAATTAAAATATTCTTTCTCTAGCTTGATTGTTAAAGAGTTATTTGTACGTAAAAACAAAACTTTTCTTCTTTTAATGATTCTTTCTCTTGGGTCGTATGAAGAGTAGTATCAAAATTATGGGTTGTGTGCCTTGCTGTAGGAGAAAATGCCTGGTCAACTGTAAATTGTAGTAATGTTCTACTTTTGCACAACTGCCCATCTTATGGTAGCAATTTGGCCTTTTCTCTGACTGAAGTACTTGAAAATGCCCCCAATCCGCCATAATTCCAATTGGTATTTATATGATCCCTTTAATACTGAGGAAGAATTTTTTGAATTTTATCTTACCTGATGGCAATTCCTCTTCAAGCTTTAAGTGTCTGGCCATATGGTATATAAATAAAGGCCTGATACGATCAGCAATTTAGCTTGTGTTTACTGTCTATTATTGAACAATTATGTCTCTTTAATACATTCATGTTACATGTTTATTTTGCTATGTGTTCTAGGAGGTAGTATCTCTTTATGGTCATTAAAAAAATTACTAAGCAGGGTAGAAATTTTATATTCGATAGATTTCCTGGGGGTACTTAATTATCAGTTAGACTGAACAATCATATTAAGTGATTTCATAGGAGGTTCCCTTCTCTATCACTATGTCTCCTTCCTATTGACATGTATAAAAGGGAAGAAACTTTTCTTTAAAGAGGAAGGGTCCCAGGATATATACTTGGGGGACTCACACTTTGGCAAATTGGGAGATCTCTCAATATTCCTGAAAGTTCCTTGACCTTGTATTTTGGGCCATGTCATGATTACGTGCCACTTGAGGTAGTCAATTTGGTGAAGCATCCTGGCAGTTGGTTTGAAATATAACGAGTTCAATTTGATAAGTCTAGAGAGACCATTTTCAGTTTATTTAAATATATACATGTTTAACTAGCGATGAGCTATTACATTCACAGAGTATATATTTGCAATGTCAGAATGCAAATAATTGCATATATTTATAGTTTTTGCTAGTTTGGACACACTGATTTTCTTACCTGACAACCCATTCTGTAACCAAGTTCAATTTTGATTATTAAAATATAATTATTTGTAATGGGTGAATGAAATAATTCGTTGGGAGGCACTTAACAGAGACATTCCATTACATTTTATTACATTATGAAATAGCCTATTAAACAATTACTAAATACCATACTGAGGCTTAACAATTGAATTACATGGAAGACCGATATGTCTTGCGAATGAATAATTACTTTATATGATCATATATATTTATTGTTTGTATTAATATTATTATGATATGCACAGACAACTTATTCAAAAGACTCTACCTAGTTCATACATAATTTGAGAATTTACAAAAAGATGAATTACCCAAACTGTTGCTCAATAATGAGCAACCATTTCATTTGAAATAACTAGAAAATGTTGTATTGAAAGATTATTTGAAGAGTTCACTTTTAAGAGGCAGGTGAATAAAAAAACAATTCTTGAAATTTTGTTCATATTTCCAGATAAGTTCTTCGGGTACTTTCCAGTGTTTTTCTGTTTCTAGGTATCAACCAAAGGACATTGGCCATGTCAAAGGTTGTTTGGAATCATAACATTGATCGGCAGTCTTATCTATAGAGAGATATATGCCATTGTCTTCCTCTGTGCTGCTTCAGGCAAGTTACCTAATGTCTTGAGAACCTCATCACCTGCTACAAAATTTAAAGAAATTGTTAGGATTGGGTCGTGTTTTCAAAATTATTCCTAAAACTATTTGAAATCATTTGGGTATGGTTTCAATAGTAGTGGCAGCATTGATTTGGGACTGAATAGGTGAAATAAATGAAATATAAAAATTTGCTAGACTGATGTTCATTGATAATCAACCTGTTAATCTAAAAAAAAAGATATTTTGTGACTGACTTTAATCCCCCCCTCAATTGTACAATACAATAAAGTCATTTCTATAGCACTCTTACAAACTAATTGTTGTTTCACAGCGCTTTACATAAATTTATCAAAGAATCTGTTGTTGATCATGGTCAAAGAGGAAAGTTTGGAGACATTTTCGGAAGACATCCAGCGAAGGTGATAGACAAATAAAATTTGGAAGCCCTTTCCAGAGTCGAGGAGCACGTGCCTGGAAACATTGTCGCCAGCTATGGTGTATGTTCGAGGAATGTGTTGTAAAAGAAAAATGACCATGGAAAAGACAAGGCTTCATGCTCTGGCCTATTACACACAGTGCAGGGTTCAAGCATGCTCCGAGTCAAATTTAGCAAGGTAATGAAAATCATCTTTTGAAGTGAAAACTATAGTTTGGGCCTTTTTTTCATTCTTTTTATTCATTACTGCATATGTTTTAATTTGTTTTCATTGGTTCCCTTTTCCCAGGTTTCAATGAATCTAAGGACATTTTCTTTTTTAAAGGTTGTTTTGTCATGCATACCATCAATGGGTAGTCTTATCTATAGAGATATATACGTGCCATTATCTTTCAGCATGCTCTTCCAGGCAAGTTTCCAACTGTTGTGTGAATCTTATCACCTGGTACAACAAAATTGATGATGTTGGAGAATGTTTGGAAGAGAATGTGAGGAAATTAGGTCATATTTTCATCAACATTCCTAAACTCTTTTTTCGGGTAACTTGAAGAAAGTTTGAATAATAGACTGCAGGTTGCAAGCCCAAAATTTGGATTAAAATGGAATATGTATGATGTGAACATGGTTCCAGTCATCAAATTAAAATGATTTGCATGCGAGAGAGCGTTGATAGAGAAAGTTGGTAATCATAAACCCAATAAATTGAACCTTAATTTCCTTTTTGTCTTTCAAAGTTTCAATCCCATTGTCCTTTCCACTGGGGCTACGTATGGACTGGTGTTTTATTCACATGTTCATGCATCCCCATTACCAGATATGTTTTAAAAAGTTGTATTCATTGTTTTCCTTTTCCCAGGTGTTTAATCTGAGGACATTGTGACATCATGCCATCAGTAGTCGATATTCTCATTCTCATTCAGCATGTTCCTCTCAATAAGTCTCCAGTCAAGGAACCCCTCATCTGCTTTGAGAAAGGCAGGATAAGGTATTTATTCTTTCATAAAAGCATGTTTTGTATAGTATTTTTTCAAAATGTTGTTGTCCATCATTACGAGACAAGGTGGGTTTTACCACCACTGTGCCTTGACGAGATCACTGACCAACACACAGATGAGGTAGTCTCACTTTAGTGGTGTTGTGGTCTATTGGATATCTCATTTGATTGAGTAGTAGTTTACAGTTTTCGTCCCAGATATATTTTTTTTGGCAAGGTATTTATATACAATTGCCACTTTTAACGCAGCAGCAGTAAATGGGTACCCTGTAAAAAAGTATTCTGTGAATGCTTCTATCAACTTGTGCAGCTTATAGCTTAAGCCATGGCAACAGTATTTTTGTTTTCTCCTTTATGATTAATGAGATATGAACACCCCCATACGGTACCTGCAGTCCAATTAATAACACTCGATGCCAGCAATCCATCAAATAAATTCATTCCTCATAATTCTACTTCGTGCAAAGCCAAGCGATATTGTCTCATATGTAACCACCACATCTAAGATTTCAGTATAATTGATTACTCTATCAAGTCCATAGCCTTACTAGTGATTGGACCAAGCAAAATATCATGAAACGTAATGTTTTAACAATTTTTGTTAATGTGTGGAATAGTACCTTGGGCTTGCCCAGTAGCAATATTGATACCTAGTTCAGAGATGCCAATTAACCAGTATGATTTAATCATATTTAGTACAAAAATATGATTTTTCAACAACAACCCCAAAACCCTTTTATTTAATTTTTGTAATACCCATAAAACCATGGAATAGCATAGAAACATGTACCTACAAGTAAACCCCTGCAACCCCAACAAAAACTTTGCTTTACAATTTTCTTTTAAAATTTTAATCAAAGAGCAAACATTTTACTTGACCGTACGTACCAGTATCACATTTTTCTGAAATTTTACTGGCCCGGGGCCAACCGGCCATTGGTAGTGTAGAGTTTTCGTCAAAATCTGATTTTTTTAGGATACTTGTTCTGTTTTTTTGTGTCAAGAGGTTACCGGTAAATGAATTTTCATTCTTAACAATTAAGAATAAGGTATAAGAAAAAAGAAAAGACTTTGATTAATATTGTTTGTTTGATATGATTGATTGAATGGAATTGATTGATTTGATTTTGGTCAAGATTGAATGATTGATTGATTGATTAAATTGCTAATCAATCAATGACTTTGTTGGTGTGATAAGCAGTCCTACCATGCACTAACATCATGCTCTTCAAAACAAACCGTTCGATTGATTGATTGATTGATTTAATTGATTGATTTCTTTGTTGATCTAATTGTTAATTGATGGGTTGCATGATATGATTGATTGACTAATGTAATCAGCAATCCTGCACTGTCATCATGTTCCTTAAAAACAAATCATAAGTCATCATGAGAATCTCCTCACCTGGTGCCATTAAGAAGGCTAGGATTGTGTATATATCTCAAGGAAGATTAGTCAAAGTCTTCACTGCGCTATCATCAGTTTAAACAGAAAGCTGTGGTAACCGGTTCCGGTGAGTTGTCAGCCTTTCAGAAATTATGCAATTTAAAAATCATGCAATTTAAAAAAAAGATCTTCTTTATTGCCTGTTTTGATATTATTGAGCAGTGATTGAATTATTTAGGAAAGAAATATCCATGTTAGATGCATGATTTTCTTTCAACCCATTTTTTATGTAGATTGATAAACAATTTGATTCTATTCATGATCATGTCAAAAAGTTAATTTGAACCATTTTCTCTCCAATGGTTCTGAGCTAGCAAGAGATAATTTCTTAGTTATGTACAGTCTTGGACAGTTTTACTAGGATTTGTATGGTTATACATGTTTTGTTAAAAGTATTATTTTCATGAGACTAATTTTTTAGGGCTGTATTTCGACACAGATATATTAGGACTCAATATCCTAGGTACTCAAACGAGACGGACCATAAGTACAATAGCGTAAACAAAACAACAAATCATTATCTGTATGAACCAAGAATCAGTTAGTTTGGAGTCTGTCTGGAGTCATTTAGCGGTGGGATTCAGGTTTCAGGTTAAGTTTGGACTCAGGTTAGAGCTATAATAAAGTTAAGTGTAGTGTCAGTTTCAGGGTTGATGAAGTTAAGAATTTGACTGGAAAGCAATTGACTACTAATCGTATTGTAATGTTTTAATCATTTTTCCCATTGCCTGGCAGGTTAATAAAGAAAGAAAATGTACTGTGCCATCATTGTTTTGTGCCTGTTGGCAGCCGCCCAGGCTGACTCGCAGTACAAGAATCCAAATACTGCTGGGGGACGAACTGCCATGGTTCATCTCTTTGAGTGGCCCTGGAGATCTATCGCAAGGGAATGTGAAGAGTAAGTTTACATTTCATCCTGAACATCTTCATCTTGTGCATTTTTTTAAAAATGAAAATATTTCAATGTGAAAGGTGTATTGGGGTCTTCTTTGATAACTAAACTGACCATTAAGTACATTTCCAGTGATTTTTTTCTTCAATGCAACTCACAGAGTTCTGCAATTAAAAATAAATATAATCATATTTTTCTGTGTTCCGTACAACATATGATAATTTCAGCTCTACAGTGTGTCTTGCCGAGAAAAGGATATTTATAAATGTTTGTCATAAATTCATAGGGCTCCTTGGAAGTACTTTACTATTACCATAAAACAAATCTTCTCTACTGATTCCTTTTCTATAAAGGCAAGAAAATGTTGTCTAAATGTTCTGTACGACATATATGGAATCGCATGTACATCTATCGTACAGTTGTGTCAATTTATTGTCCTGGTGTTTAACTTCCGTCACTAGTATTTGTTATGATAATCTTTGCTATCACAGATAGGAAGCTATATCACTTTTGTATTTCTAACATAGAGCTGCACTATCAGGGATGGGCTTTCTATAAAAGAGATTGATTTCTGAGATATGTAACACTGTATACTTGGTTGGTTGGTCTGTTTACCAGATTGATAATAAAGCATGTGTATGCCTGTAAGTAAGCAATCAGGGGACCAATGGCTTTAAGTACTATCTGAGGGACTTGGTAATGAGGATGCCTTACCAAAGGACACTAGTGCATCGAATTGGTTTCGAATCTGGGACCTCCCGGTTACGAGACCACTGCGCTCTTCCCCTGAGCCAACGTGCCTCACTCATACTTCCATGTACATGTATAGAATGCCTATTGAATACAACTCTTTTGCCCCAAACTCTTCCTCTGTCTCCAGCTTCCTGGGCCCCCACAGTTTTGGTGGCGTCCAGATTTCTCCTCCTCATGAGCACCGCATCCTCTACGACACAAACATACAGCGTCCATGGTACGAGGCCTACCAACCTGTCAGCTACAAGCTCGTGAGTCGTCGTGGTAACCGGGCAGAGTTCATTGACATGGTACAGCGTTGTAATAATGCCGGAGTGAGGATCTATGTGGATGCTGTTGTTAATCATATGTGCGGTGGAGATGCCGGTAAGAGCTATATACATTTACATCACTACAGTGCACACCCCATCCCACCTCACCCCCCCCCCCCCCACCCCACCACCATCGGACTTACTCTCTGAGATATACTCTACATGTGGGAGGATGAACTGAATAACATTTCTGTTCAAAAGGGAAAATGCCAATGGCCATCGATTAGACTTGGATGCTGAAGGGATAACAGTGATGTATGTGGTAGAAATTGGCATCAGGCAAAATTCTTTTTTTCCAGAGTTTCAAAATCTTCCATGGCTATTACTTTCGAATAAATTGGTTTAGAGAGAGAAAGTGAAAAAAATGCCTAGAAACTAGGCCACCACTACGCAAGCTACAAAACAACATTCAATGTCATACAAATTATTGTATGTCTAATGTTTGTGATGTTTGTGTACTTTTACAGGGGTTGGTAAAGGCTATGGCGACAGTGCCTACGACACCGACGCATATGCCTTCGCCGAAGTGCCCTACGATATCAGTCACTTCAACGTTCCTCAGGGATATGAGCAATGTCCCACTGGTGGACCCATTAACACATACAACAGTGCACAAATCGTGAGTACATTTAATTTTCCATGCGTCATTTGTAGACCCTAATAAAGGGGGCCCATATAACTATATGCAACTCTTTGTTTCCCAAAGTTGAACCATACAAATTGTATAATCAGTGTCTAGAGATAGATAGTAAGACGGTATAGATATAATGTTTAATCTATTATACAAAATGTATGTCCTGAACCTGAAATATGTTGAAACTATATTTATTTACTCTTAACTTTTCTGGAATATACTCTTTCCATGTATGCCTCCAAAGGCTCCAATTATATATTATTTCTCTCGATAGCACCAGGAGTGTAAATTTTGACAGGTATGGTGCTTTAAGTTGATTCTTGTGAGGCTTGTATGAATGTTAGTGAGCCAATGCTATGTATATCTTGTTGCTCCAGTGTTCACTGCTTCAGAAATATATTTTCAGGCAAAGGATTTTCAGTCACTTGAGGTCCTACCCATATTTAAGTGGGTATGGATATGTTGCTGAGAAGAAGGGTTTAAGGTTTTAAGTCCAGATTTCACAAACTGTTTTTCACATTTTTCCAAAACTGTACCTAATCCCTAAGTTTAACATCACAAAACATAATACATACTATCATATGGATAGAACTTGTATGGTGATACTCTGAAAATACATGTACAATTATACCCAGGTCATGATGAAATATTTTATTAAGTTCAAGATATTGTTTATCCCACTCTGAGAGTAAGATGGGATGACATGATTTGATGAGTTTTTCTCATATTTGTTTATTTCTATTTTTTTTCATGAAACAATTCATCCAGGTACGCAACTGTAATCTTGAAGGGCTTCTAGACCTGGATCATTCACAGGGGTACGTCCGAGACAGAATTGTAGATTACTTCAATGATGTAATTAATATTGGGGTCGCTGGGTTCCGTGTTGATGCTTCCAAGCACATGTGGCCTGATAACATTCAGGCAATCTTTGACATGACTGATAACCTGAACACTGCCTACTTCCCTGGGAACACCCGACCTTTCTTCTACCAGGAGGTGATTGACCAGGATACCGGGGAAGCTGTGACCGCTGCCGAATATATCAATATTGCTAGAGTCACAGACTTTATCTATGGAAGGGAAGTCAGTGAGACTTTCAAGGGTTACAAGTCCCTCGATAGTTTGTCAAGCTTTGGTATACATTGGGGAGTTAAGATTAGTGATGAAACTGCTGTTGTGTTCATTGATAACCATGACAACCAACGTGGACATGGTGGTGGTGGCAATGTTCTGATGTATAAAAACCAAGAAGATTACAAGTTGGCTATTGCCTTTATGCTGTCATGGCCACATGGTTTCCCACGTATCATGAGCAGCTATAAGTTTGATCAGCAGTGGACTGGACCTCCTGCCGATAACGATTGGAACACCGAAGAACCAACCTTCAATGCTGATGGATCTTGTGTATCAACTGATTCATATGGTTGGGTCTGTGAACATCGCTGGAGGGGTATCAAGAACATGGTGGAGTGGCGTAACCAAGCCGGTACTGAGCCTGTTCAGAACTTCTGGGGTGATTACAGTAGGTTGGCTTTCTCCCGAGGTAATCGTGCTTTCATTGCTATTGGTCGTGGTGGTTCATCCATCAATGAGAGACTTCAAACTGGTCTCCCTTCTGGCGAGTACTGTAACATGGCTGTGGTGGATTATGATTCAAGTGCTCGATCTTGTACTGGTCATAGCACTGTGAATGTGGATTCTTCTGGTTATGCTGACATCTCCATCAGTGGCAACAGTGGAGATAACCTGCTGTTCATCCATGTTGGTGCCTCGAAGGATGGACCCATTGTAGCTCCCACCTCTGGCCCAGGTGAACCAACCCTAGTCCCAACCCAAGGACCAACTGGAGGACCCCAACCAACCTCCCCAGCTGGATGGGAGCGCACTGTTGTTTTCATCTACAAGCCCACGTCAAACGGACAAGATGTCTTTGTTCGTGGTGGTATTGACCATTCTAAACGTAGCGGGTGCAGCAACAATGCAGACAGCAACAACAACTGTGCCATGCCTATCACCCACAGAATTGGAGGAGGTAACTCCAAATTCAATGACTGGAAATCCGGTGATGATTTCTTAGATTGGTACGGAGCAGAATCTGATCAAGGTAAGAATCAAGGACAGTCTGCAGAGGGTACTCCCTTGGTCTGGACAACCAATGATGCTGGCTACCAGCATAAAGTGGATACCGATGGGTATGGCTACACCAGTCTTAACGTATGGGGAGAACACTACTGGATGCTGGATATCAACATGGACTGCAGCAAGACTGAAGAAGGATGGTTTGAGCTCAAGGGTATAGTGAAAACCGGTGGTGCTGAATGGGAGAGTGACCGCAATCAGGGATCCTGCAGTGGCAGCGCAGGTGGCAGTGCCCCATATTCCACAGGCAATCACTTTGCTCGATGTGGATATCTCAACAAGTTCTCCTTCGACAGCAATGAATGCCAGATTGATAACTTGTAATCATCTTTATAGGCAACTCTGTTCTATTCTGTCTTCTGTGTGCAATAATGCTTTATAACAGTAATGACTTAAGTGTTGATTAAAATTTCAAGAGCCTTGATATCTAAAAGATTGGATCAACGACAGTATCTTAATCCATTTTGACTGAACAGAAACAGAATCAGCTCATACAATGATGAATCAATCTAAATAATTTTTTGACAGCTTGTTTCTCAAAACTTTGATCAAAGGAAATTACAAAAATAAAGGTAGTTTGTAAATGTCAATGACACAATGAGATGAAGTTATCTATATGCCAATGATAACAAGGGAGTTGCTAAAATCAATAAAGAAGCCATTTATGGTGGAGAACAGTATCATATGATGTTATCTCTTTATCATTGTTATCTTTACATAATATATCATATTTTTAAGATGAAAGTGTAAATTGGTTGAGGTACAAGGATTGCAAGAAGAGAATATGGGATTATGATTGATTTGAATGAGGGAAGAATGCGATCATGCTGCTGATCTAGTGATGCATCCAGGATTTTCAAAAAGAGGATGCATTTCTCTGAAAGTATACCAAACTTGTATACATGCATGCTTTCTATGACCTTGCTAATACACAGAAAGTCCATATTCCCAAATGATGTGTTTATATTACTCTTTTTGTTGAGGGGGGGGGGGGGGGGTTGGCCTCCAGCATCCCTATCAGGATTCATTTCTACTTTATTGATGATTATGTTGATGGTATTTACTGGTGATGGTTGTGTTGATGGTATTTACTGGTGATTGTTGTGTTGATGGTATTTACAGGTGATTGTTATGTTGATGGTATTTACTGGTGATTGTTGTGTTCATGGTATTTACAGGTGATTGTTGTGTTGATGGTATTTACTGGCGATTGTTTTGTTGATGGTATTTACTGGTTCAAAAGTTCAAAGTTCAATTTATTTCTCCACAAATGCAAGACATAGGGAGCTACATAGAATAAAATACATACATACAATACAATAATAGAACATGTACAATATATATAGAACGACTCCAGTTGGAGCAATGTATGTTTTAAAAAGAAACAAATCAGCAAATGTGGAAGGGGTAGTCAAAAATCAAAAAAATGATTTGTCGAGGACTACCCCCATGATTATTATGTTGGTATTTACAGGTGATTGTTATGTTGATGGTATTTACAGGTGATTGTTGTGTTGATGGTATTTACTGGTGATTGTTGTGTTGGTGGTATTTGCTGGTGATTTTCCTATAGAGTGTATTGAAAGGTGATTGTTGTGTTGATAGTATTTTCTAGTGATTGTCCTGTAGATGGTATTTACTATTGATTTTCTTCTAGATGGTATTTACAGGTGATCGTTACCTTACAATTTTTGACTACTTTACTTAATTAAGCATTTGCCTTACTCTGTCATGTTAAGCTTCCAACCCCCCCCCCCCCCCATAAAAAAGGGGGGAAAAAAAAGGCTACTGAACCCTTCCTATACTAAATGATGGGCCACTTTGGTAAAAATTGAGTGTGAAAACAAAGATTGCTATACCCCATTTACTCGTACCCCTATCAATAGCACCATGTGTTTAGCAGAACTGTACACGAAAAGGGCATTTGAGATTTTGGAGCGGTATTAATATTATCCAGAAACACCTTTAGATCTTGAGAATGTTCTGTACTAAGGGTAATCGGTTGGACTGGATGGAGTCGGATACTTTGGCCCCATTCTCACTTCCAATCAAGTCAGATATGTTCTTAATCTCTAAAGGAAAATGAACCTAACAAACTTTAGTTGTGTGTAAACTGTGAGTCAATTAAAAGTAATGATGCGGTAAATCCTCCAAAAGTTCCCACAGGTTTTTAATGCATAAATAAATGGCAATTTGTGATTAACCACCCCCAGTCAACTACCCCCTAGGACAACTACCCCGTAGGACAACTGCCCCCTAGGGAAACCACCCCCTGGACAACTACCCCCTAGGACAATAACCCCCAGACAACTACCCCCCAGACAACTACCCCATAGGATAGTTGTCCCGGTGGTAGTTGTCCTAGAGGATGGTTGTCGTAGGGGTTAGTTGTCCGGGTGGTAGTTGTCATAGATGGTAATTGTCCTAAGGGGTAGTTGTCCAGTGGATAGTTGTCCTGGGGGGTAGTCATCTTAGAGGGAGGTTGCCCTAGGGGGTAGTTGTCCTAGGGGGTAGCTGTCCTAGGATGACTACGTACCCCCTTGGACAACTTTCCGCCGGACAACTACCCCCCCCAGTAAACTGCCCCCCTAGGACAACTACCCCTGGACAACTACCCCCCGGACAACTGCCCCCCCCGACAACTACCTCCTAGGATAACTACCCCCCCCTGGACAACTATAGCCCCCAGATAACTACCACCTGGACAACTACCCCCTACAACCATTCTCTAGGACAACTATCCTATTGGGTAGTTGTCCGGGGGGTCGTCGTTCTAGAGGGTGGTTGCCCTAGGGGGGTAATTGTCCTAGGGGGTTGTTGACTGGGGGGTGGATGTCCAAGGGGTAAGTGTCCGGATACGGATAAAAAGAAAGATATAAAATCTCTGACAATTTAGGTAACTGAGATGTATGTAAATCTCAAATTAGAAATTTGTAAAAAAACTTTGATGTATATGTATTTGCTCATCACCGTTTGATCCGATGCCACTTGGTCCAGTACACAGTTTTCCAACTTGATTTAGTCTATACCCCGTTTGTCCACCATGCTTGCGATTCAATGAACATTTCGTCCAATCAGCATTTAGTCTAATAAGCAATAGGGCAATTAACCATTTTGTCTAACTATTTGGTCTAATGGCCACTTTCTGCGAACGATTTCCAATTGCCATTTATTCCAATTTCCTTTTGTTCTAAATACCATTTGGTCTAAATGACCACTTTGTCTAATCAGAGGCATGCAGGCATACCAAAATGAGCTACTGTTCAATTCTTATACTATGCATTTGACATAATAGTTGTATTTGTCATTTAGCGGGATGAATGGGATGCGCGGGAGAAGTGAGACACCCCATCTGACTAAAAAGATAATAATTGACCTTAAAAAAATAATAATTGACTTTAAAAAAATAATCTGTTTAAATCCTTCAAAAGATCTTGACTATATATGTTCACAAATACAGTGAACATAGGTTTATCTACAGCTATACCACGATTTTGAAAAGTTCCACATCAGGATTCGTATCCTACTTCTCCCTCTTCTCCCCTACAGGTATATAAAGAAGTATTTCTCGAAAGCTGATTTTCACTTGTATAAAAAGTTTTGATTGAGGTAAAACTTGCTTACTAGTGCAGTTTTACTCCAGGTCGGGTTTTTTGCCTTGTCTCATGTCAGATCTAAGAAAAGGCTTGTTTGTTTTGCTCCAGGTTTATTTGTTGCAGTGACTGACAGTGACAGAGACAAAGGTTGCTTTGGTATCTTACGCAAGTCGTCTTCTTCGCACGTAGGCTAGCTGGTATCGGTCGATCAAGTAGTCATGGGAACTTCATCACCTGGCCTGAGAGGACTGCGTCCCTGGACGTTCATTTAATCCACTATCCATCTTTGGAGGTATGAAGACAGTAAAAAAAAATTTAGGACTAGAGTAAACATATTCTTAACTTTTAATCTTTTTCTTGTAATTAATTGTCAGGGCTCACAAGGCACCAAGCTTCGCTAATGTTGGAGACCTTGCCAGTTCTGTTTAAATAGTTAACTTCTCTTCATATAAGTTTTGATATATACTGATATTTATTATGTATTCAGAACTGAATAGATGTATGAATTAAAATGATGCTATTGCTCTTGCTGTACTAGCCAGTGTCACTAGGCAATATTCCATCACACATGAGGTAAAACTTGCTTACTAGTGCAGCTTTGCTCCAGGTCATTTGGTTTGTGCCTTGTCTTATGTCAGAGCTAAAAAAGACTTGTTTGTTTTGCTCCATGTCTATTTGTTACATTTGAAGTTAATTTTCTACTCTGTGTCTTGTTGGGACAGTGACTGAGTCAAAGGTTGCTTTGGTATCTTATGCAAGATCTCTTCTCGGCACGTAGGCTAACTGAAATCGGCCAATCCAGTCGTCATGGGAACTTCATCACCTGGTACCAGAGGATTCAGAGTCTGTCTATATCAAGAGGATCTTTGACATGGTCTATCTCATTCTGAAGGTTGTTGGCTTGTACCAACCAAAGAACACCTCAGTATTCTCCATCCTGCAACAGTGAGTATGCTAGCTCTTCAATACTTTTTGAGCATCTCCTACTTGGAGATTGAGATATCTTCTCTTTTAGATGACAAATGTTTTTTTTCTTTTTTTTCTTACTTCTTTTTGACATACATGTAACGAGACATAAATTACATGCATTAGATTATGGTTCTAAATTTTGCACTGATTGTACTCTTTATCCTTCCTGTTTATTCATCTTCAACCATTTGATCTTCATATTGAATGGAATTCATGGTTTTTACTGAAAATTATTCATTTTTGCAGCCCACAATCTCAAATTGAAAACTAATATGTAAGTTTGAACGAGATTCAAATCACATTGTTTTTATTGTACATGAAATTTCTTTCAGCAGAAAAGATTTCATATGTTGCTCCTATTATTTTACGGGGAATTGCTGTTATATAAGTTTGAATCTAAAATTAATTGAGGAGGTGTCCTGATCTTTAAAATGGAAAGGAGTAGCATGCTATTAAGAACAGTCGTAAGAATGATCCTAGAAAATGTGGCACAGTTGATTGGGTGATGAACATCCATGTCCACATATGGTTTTGAAGGTTCTTGCAAGCATATAAATTTATTGATTATTCAAGTTATTAAGGTAATATTTGATAGAAAGAAAAAAATTATCTGTTTGATTTTGTAAGGTCTATTTTTTTAAATAAGTGTTACTATTAACAGATATAAAAACATTTTTGAAAAGGAGGATACAAGTTTAGGAATAGAGTAGCCCTTATCTGGTTTTAAAAATGTATAGCATACAACACTATATTCATTTTTTTAAATAGGTGTTTACTATCAACAGATATAAAAGCATTTTTGAAAAGGAGGATACGAGTTTAGGAATAGAGTAGCCCTTATCTGGCTTTAAAAAAATGTTTAGCATACAACACTATATTCATACCCTCATTTTACCTAGTTAATGTATAAAAATAAAGTAATTTGAGTTCAGATAAGTGGATTATTATTGTGGTTGTAACAACATGAGATGGTTGTGTATTACAAGTTTGAGGTAACTAAGTGCCTAACAACACACATGATATTGTATTGAATTGGAAACAATTTGTCAATCAGTAATAAATGAACATGTATCCTTATGTACATGTGTATGTTTACTGTTAACTTTTATCCTTACTTGCAGGCCCAGATAAAAAGATGTACTGTTGTATTGTAGTTCTGTGCCTGTTGGCAGCAGCCCAGGCTGACTACAAGAACCCAAATACTGCTGGGGGTCGGTCTGCCATGGTTCATCTCTTTGAGTGGCCCTGGAGATCTATTGCAAGAGAATGTGAAGAGTAAGTTTACCGCATAATGGTGATGGTGATGAGGATGGTGATAGGGATGATGATGATTGATGATGACGAAAATGATTATGTCGATGATGCATGATGATGATGATAAAGATAGTGATGGAAATGTTGATGTGCAATGATGATGATGAGAGAGATCTATGACAAGAGAATGTGAAGAGTAAGGTTAGGATTAAATGATGATGATGGAGATGAATTTATGATCCTCAATATTCTTTGTATTCAAGCTTCCTAGGCCCCAATGGCTTTGGTGGTGTCCAGGTTTCTCCTCCCAATGAACACCGCATCATCGACCGGCCAGATTGGGACAACAACGTGGTGCGTCCATGGTACGAGAGCTACCAGCCAATCAGCTACAAGCTCGAGAGTCGTCGTGGTAACCGGGCAGAGTTCATTGACATGGTACAGCGTTGTAACAATGCTGGAGTGAGGATCTATGTGGATGCTGTTGTCAATCATATGTGCGGTGAAGATGCAAGTAAGAGCTAGTTTTGAATGTGCTGCTTCATTTTACAAGGATTTTGAACAGATTTTAATCTACCTTGTAGTGTCATAATTCTGGGCCCATGCATATTCAGAAACCCTTACTAAGCTAGTTGTCAACAAAATTGTAGGCTACAGTAAATAGACATTGTGGCCAAATATGCTTAGTAAGGTTTTAAGAAAATTGAGCCCAGTAGTCTGATAATTAACTTAAAAGCTACCATTCAACCTGATTGGACAGTTTCAGGTAAAAATGTAATTGCTTGATGATTAAAAGAGTAGTTTGCCTTTTTCAATTTTAAGTTTCTTCAGTGGAGCCAGTGATCTCCAGTCAAAACGGCAATTTACCCCAAAGACTAAGTTCAAAAGAATTTGTTTGCGAGTGTATTTTATATGCACTTCAAGCATTTTGAGTCACAATCAGATAATGAACATCACTTGTTGAGTTCTTTGAAAGTCTCATTGTGATTTAGTTGAGTGCAGCATGCGCACTAGCGTATCCGATATATGCGTCGGGCTTTACAAGTATTCTAATCGCGTTTATATGGAGAGTGACGTCGGCGCAGGCGTCAGCCCGAGCGCCTATCATCACTGGTGCATGCGAAAAGTTTTCTTTTCTTTTATGTACCATGTTTCGTTCGTAGAAAATCTACGAACCCCCTGTAGAGCTCTTTCATGAATATTTATGTAGCATGGACCAAAATAGGCCAATGGGCGATGGGGAACCTGGAGATGATATTTGATTGGTTGAATCAAAGTGATCCATCACCAAATAAGGCTAGTCTTAGGAATCATGCACGAGAATACGCTCGTCACACATACGATACACATATGAGTTGACTAGTGATGATAGGCGCTCGGGCTGACGCCCGCGTCGATGTCAGTCTCCATAACGCGATTAGTACACTTGCCATTTAGCCCGATGCTTATCGGATAGGCTACATGCGCACCAAAACAGTACGGTGAGCGTCTCAGTGTGTGCATCATCAATGACCTTGCCATATGAAACTACACGATTGGTTAAAGCTTTTACCTGCTATGAAAATGAAGATCAAAATTGCGTTTCTTCTTGGAGAAGTATGTCTTGCATGGCCCCTGAAGTAAATATTTTCATTCCCTTTTCCATTCATCCTTTACCATAAATGGGCATGCAAGGGGCAATAAAGACGGTGAGGTGTAATTGAAATTGCCCTTGTACCAAAAATGTTTTTAACCACATAAATATGCTATTAAGAATGTAGATACTTGTCTTTGCATTCTGTTTCATCAAACCAATATTTCCTATTTTATGAACTGTTTTAATAATGTAGATACTTGTCTTTGCATTCTGTTTCATCATACCAATATTTCCTATTTTATGAACTGTTACAGTGACTGGTGTAGGAAGTGGCTCTTCTCCCTATGAAACACAAACCTTCAACTTTTATGGAGTACCCTACACATCACCCAATTTCAACGTACCAAATGGCAACTGCGGCACTGGCAGTGGTAAAATTGAGAACTATGGTGATGTAAATCAGGTAAGGCTTTATAGAAACCAAGCAAGACATGGACCAGTACACTGTATTGTACTGGAATTGTTTGCACAATTAGGCTTGATAGTTTCCAGATCTAAATCGGTTTCCCAATTTTTTCCCAATTTTTCCCTTAAAGGTACTATGTCCCTTTTGCAGCCAACCTCAAATCTGTAGAACTTTACAGGAATTATGAATATGTCATGTATGTCCTATCTGTGAAATTTAAACGTCAGCAGTGTCCTAATATTCAAATTATGCAAGGAAACCTGTTTACTTGCTAGACTTCACTGTCAGACACTTTTGAGTGACTGACTGGCTTTTTTCTTCTCTGGTAATAACATACATAAAATGAGCTGTAAAGGGTACAATAACCCACTTCTTGTGATGGCCAAAATTAAACTGATTGAATCTTTGCACAGCATAAAACGTACAACCATTCGGTACAATGGTCTGAAAATCAAGACTATTACTTATTGGCTCTATAGCTCATAAGTCGATTTGGCAACTAATAATTGTTATTTTCCCACTTGAAGACATTTTCAAGCCCCAATTTTTTTAGGGAAGTTTTAAATTAGTATTATCTTTCAAATGCTGTTGGTATTTACCCTTTTCATTTTTTTGGCCAGCAAATGAGACATAGTACCTTTAATCTTTGTGTTATCAGTGTCTGTGATATGGTGTAATATTGAAGCCCTAACAAAATTGCGCTTCAAAATAATCATGAAGTGCCTCAAAAAAGCAAAAATCTTTGAGTGACCGGTTTTACAATCCTCATTTTCCCCAATAGACTGTTGTGTTATAAAAAACATTAGGAAAATATTTTTGAAATCTCAATTTCCAATCATAAATATCTTGGTAATCAGACAGGTGATCAGCTTGTAAAAATCATGGGGTTCCTGACTGGCCTAAAGGTTTATCATTGCAGCATGAGCTAAATCCGGGATTTTGTTTCAGGATCTGAGACAAAGATACCCAATCCCTTTAAAGTGTATCAATTACCTAATAATGCTTCGTTCAGGATCTGAGGGGGTTTCATGGCACTATCCTCTATTAAAACAAAACATAAGCTTTATATGTTATTCCTTTGATGAGATATTGCATATCTTAATACACTCTCAATGAGTATAAAAGTAACTTGGGTGTGATTAGTGGCCACACCCATATGGGGTAGCATACAATGGGGCACACAGAACCCAAGTCTGACTTCATCTATGAATTTCAAAGGGGCGACCTTTAGAATAAATTCATCGTCCCAAAAATTAAAGGGGGTTTTTTATTCAAAACATTCATCACATCATTAAAGGTTCATTATTCTGAGGGTTCGTTTCGTAACAACATATAACATACATGTATTAATACAATGAAAAATGGGATAATAATAATAATAATTATAATAAATGTTTCTTATAAAGCACTTTACCAGTTACAACATACCCAACCAAAGCGCTAACGGAGGAATATCAATTTCGTACTGTATAACACATGAAATAATAATATTTGCATGAATCACTGTTAGCACATTAGAATCACATATACCATACATTTTTAAGATGCACTCATAATACATCTTTCCAATTTACATAGGCCTACAGTAGTATTTTGAATAATCTAGTTTTGGCTGTATTATGGGGAACTCCATCCTGATATCAATAATGGCTTCTTTTTTAAATAGAGAAATAGATCTGTAAAAACTGAAGGAAAATATAAAGTAAGGAAGTTATGGATTTCAAAGGTTTGTTTTGTTCTAAAAAATCTGCTCCTTTGTTGGTAAAGGAGCACTGCTACATGTCAATTTAATACAAAAGATGTGTGTAGTAAAATTTCTAGAGCATGGACAAGAGTAATATTTACTTTAGAGCAAATATGAAATTTCTTGTACCTAGCAATTGGAAAACTACTCACAAGGATACTTACAAAGTTCCAATTCTGTGTTTGATCAATCACAAGTTCAAATCTTCATAACTTTCTTATCATTCAGAGTTTCCTCGAACCTGGCTGAATATATTCTTATTTTCTGCTTTTGTCAGAACTACTTGATGCCATATGGACTTTCCCTTTCAGTAAAAATACATTGACCCTTCCACTTCACACTTGGTGTCTCGAGGATATTGGTGACATTGACTTGTTGGGATCTAATTTCCTCTCTTTTTTCTGTTCAAACAAACTCTTTTAGGTACGCAACTGTAACTTGGTAGGACTCATGGATCTGATAACTGGTGACGATTATGTCAGGGGTAAAATTGTAGACTACTTCAATGATGTGATTGACATCGGTGTTGCCGGGTTCCGTGTTGATGCTGCCAAGCACATGTGGCCTGAAGACTGTCAGGCAATCTTTGATGGGACCAATAACCTGAACACGGCCTACTTCCCTGAGAACTCTCGAGCTCTCTTCTACCAGGAGGTGATCGACAAGGGTGGAGAACCTGTTACTGCTGGGCAGTATAAAGATTTTGGTAGAGTCACAGACTTTATCTACGGAGGAACGGTCAGTGCGGCTTTTGGTGGTAGGATGTCTCTTAACGATTTGCAGAATTTCGGCAGTGGAAATGGTGCTCATCATAATCTATACGATAATGATGCTCTGGTTTTCGTTGATAACCATGACAACCAACGTGGTCATGGTGGGGGTGGTAGCCTTCTTACATTCAATCAGGCAGATGACTACAAGCTGGCTATTGCCTTTATGCTGTCATGGCCACATGGTTTCCCACGTATCATGAGCAGCTATAAGTTTGATCAAGATTGGACTGGACCTCCTGCCGACAATGATTGGAACACTGTAGAACCAACCTTCAATGCTGATGGATCTTGTGTATCAACTGATTCCTATGGTTGGGTCTGTGAACATCGCTGGAGGGGTATCAAGAACATGGTGGAGTGGCGTAACCAAGCCGGTACTGAGCCTGTTGAGAACTTCTGGGGTGATTACAGTAGGTTGGCTTTCTCCCGAGGTAATCGTGCTTTCATTGCTATTGGTCGTGGTGGTTCATCCATCAATGAGCGACTTCAAACTGGTCTCCCTTCTGGCGAATACTGTAACATGGCTGTGGTGGATTATGATTCAAGTGCTAAATCTTGCACTGGTCATAGCACTGTGATTGTCGATTCTTCTGGGTATGCTGACATCTCCATAAGTGGAAACGGTGCGGATAACCTGCTGTTCATCCATGTTGGTGCCTCGAAGGATGGACCCATTGTAGCTCCCACCTCTGGCCCAGGTGAACCAACCCTAGTCCCAACCCAAGGACCGACCGGAGGACCACAACCAACCTCCCCAGCTGGATGGGAGCGCACTGTCATCTTCATCTACAAGCCCACATCAAATGGACAAGATGTCTTTGTTCGTGGTGGTATTGACCATTCTAAACGTAGCGGGTGCAGCAACAATGCAGACAGCAACAACAACTGTGCAATGCCTATCACCCACAGAATTGGAGGAGGTAACTCCAAATTCAATGACTGGAAATCCGGTGATGATTTCCTAGATTGGTACGGAGCAGAATCTGATCAAGGTAAGAATCAAGGACAGTCTGCAGAGGGTACTCCCTTGGTCTGGACAACCAATGATGCTGGCTACCAGCATAAAGTGGATACCGATGGGTATGGCTACACCAGTCTTAACGTATGGGGAGAACACTACTGGATGCTGGATATGAACATGGACTGCAGCAAGACTGAAGAAGGATGGTTTGAGCTCAAGGGTATCTTGAAATCCGGTGGTGCTGAATGGGAGAGTGACCGCAATCAGGGATCATGTAGTGGCAGCGCAGGTGGCAGTGCCCCATATTCCACAGGCAATCACTTTGCTCGATGTGGATATCTCAACAAGTTCTCCTTCAACAGCAATGATTGCCAGATTGATAACTTGTAATCATCTTTATGGAGCTCCTTCTACTCCAAGGTTTTTCCTTTTGTGCAATAATGTTTTTGATCAAATTGCTTTGATGCATAGCATCAAAACTTAAATCTTCATTGATAATACATACCTGTACATGTAATGTACAGAAAATTTAATATGCTGTATGCATAATATTTAATACATGACAGATTAATTATAGACATCCCATGAAATCCATTTGAAAATTGGACAAAGGTATAATACCTGATATATTGTAGCAGTAACTGTACATCATTCATTTCATGGAAATGTTGCCTTGCACTGGACAGGAAAATACTAATAAAAGATGGGTTGAGATGATATATCTTTGTCTTTGTATTTGTTTGGTTAAGGCTTAGGAAAGGTTTGAAAGTAGGAAGATTGCACTGTCTCAATGATGAAAAATAAGCATAGCCTTATTCACACATGACATGTTAAACTTCCCCCCCCCCAAAAAAAGAAGATAACAACAACCCCAAGTAAACAGAGAACACCACAGGAAAATAAAAACATTTTACATGGAAACAAATGGCTACTATTGTGAAGAAGCTGTAGCGGTGTGCAATAGACGCTTACAGAGACACAAAAATATGTTGCCCACTAATGTTATTTTGCCATGGCGTTTCATCTTTGTTGGGTGGTTTAATGTGTCAAGCGTGAACAGGACTAAGATCATCGTTTTGAAAGTTTATGGAGTCAGTGAAGACCACAGCAGCGCTTTACAGCGCCACCTGAAGTTGATGATGATGAATTTTTATAGTGGCAATGCCCTCCTTATAAAAAGTTTCCACTGCATAATAATGATTGTAACGTTGATGAAGTGAGCGAGAAGGATGGTTAAGTGGATGATGATTATCATGGTCACGATGATTAAAATAATTATTATTAATTGTAGGATGTGTATAATGATGATTATGATGGTGAATATACAGTGCATACAATGTCGTCATACAAAACTTTATGAAACTTTTATACAGTCAAACCTGTCTATTAAGGTCACCCAAGGGAAATGGAAAAAGTGGCCACTGTAGACAGGTTCTACATCACAATTTCTCTCTCTCTTTCGGGATACTAACTACATTGCCACTATAGACAGGGGTCAAATTTGCTGCAGTTGCGTTGAAGACATAACATGTGGACCGATCAGCTCGCCTTAATAGCCGAGGCGTTAAGCCATGCTCAATTCATACAAAGTCATTGTGAATATGCATACTCCACATATGATGTCATCAAGTCGATAGCTAGATTTAGGTAGACATCTTCAGATATTTCATAGCTTTTCATTTCCAGTATTCAGAAAGCTGTTTATACTCCTCTGACAGAAAGTAAAATAAGATATAATTGATATTTTTATAATCTATGGCATATAAGCTTTCCGTTGATATATATACAGCAGATGTAATTGATTTTTTTCTTCTGCATTCTTCACTTCTGACAGGGTCTTTAAAATGACTAAAGAAAGGATTAGGTTTGGAATTAGTGTTTGTAGGGCAGGTCTGAGAGTACATGTAGGTTTAGGGATAGGTATTGTTTGGACTATGTCATTATGCTGATGGTTTGCACATGAATATTGCTAATCTCATTTTCTTATGAAAATAGAGAGCTTTGAATTCCTTCAATGTTTACATCACATGCTTAAGTATAAACTGGCTACAACACATTAGGCAAAGAACGTGAAAATAAAGACTTGATATACAATAGGCATATTTTCCACCTGTACAAAGATACTTTTTAATATCTCTTTTTTTAATCATATGATGCAGATAATACACATAAGTAGCAAGATTTTTCACAAGTTGTTTCCACATCATTTTTTCATTTATTTACAGGACAAAATACACACATATATACAAGACAAGTATATATATATATAATTGGACATGAGCAATTCCATAGTCAATCGTCAGCCATGTCCACTCAATACCATACCCTTTTTGCATTAAGTTGCAGTTACCTTCCCATTCATTCAATATATTTCAAATGGATTAATCAGATTTAACATACAAAAGATCTGTCAATACATCATTATTATGTACCAGTATATCACAGATTTTAAACCACGGGTTCATGACCACAAAAAAACAAATTCCTTTATCATTTCTTACATCATTCTTCCCATCCTGCATCATTTAGAATTGACTTTGTGATCATATAGTTTGCATATACATACCGGTATATAATTTGCTTAAAGAATATCCTCTGGAAGGTGAAATGTAAAATAGTGTTAGAAGTTGGCCAAGGTGCAAGTACGTCCACTTTTAACAGCGTTAGTCATATACCAGTAATTGTAAATCATATCTACCCTTTGTGCTATTTTTCTCCCACAGAATCGGCAAACTTGAGCTTGCATGGTACATGTAGAGTACACACACCCATCCTCCAGGAATGAATATATATCATGGCTCACATACAAACACCCAACTGGTGCTTGCAAGCTAATCTTTAATAGCGCCCTCTACATTGAAAGAATACACATTGGCTGCATGAAGAGGAATTGTTTGTTGATTGTAGGGCCGATATATCACAACTTCTCTGGTAACTTTCTCATCTCAAAATTGACCAAAAATATATTTTGTTTACAAACATAAGAAAATAGAAGAAAATACATTTCAGTGTAACAAAAAAGGGAGCAGGGTTTTCTTTGAAAAAATATGATGCTATACTCATTTCAATATCCACCAGAGAAATATTCCTAGTTTCGATAATAGCCACTTTCTTGATGAATCATTAAGTTTTGTATTTTCTTGGTTAACAAGGTAATTTCAAGCTTATCCACAGGACACCACTGTTCTATTGAGTCTCGGGAACCAACCTTTTTTCCCTCGTATTAACTCTCATTGCGATCAATCAGAAAAGTCAACAAAAAAAATAATTGAATTCTTCATTTGTACGTTTTCTCTTGTGTTAATGAGCATGAAATCTTTTCTCCATGATACTTATGTACTCTCATCTTCCTAACGAAATGTGACCACATCTTCATAACGAAATGTGACCACAAGTTATGAAAGTTGATATCAATAGCTCTCTGCTCAACTTCTTTTTCACTGGGTACATGTGTAGAATTTAGATTCTAAGGTGGAGACCCAAATTGTTACTGTTTGATCTGACTTTCAATGAAATTTCTCCTTTGGAATGTTATATCACATGTATAAACAGACAAGAAAAGCATAAACATTACCAACTGCTACATGAACGCACTTTTGGCAACGATGGCATAGGTATACATGTACAGATGTAATGCATCCTTTCTTGCTTCTTTGTACATTGTACAACTTAAAATTCATGAGCCACTGCAATGCAAAAATAATTTATTAAACTTATAAATTGTTGTTTCACTTCACTAAATCAAGTCTAATGATACAAATGTAATTTATGTGGAATCACAGACATTTACATCAATCAACCTTCTGTATATGAAAAAAAATCAGAACAAGGAAAATTAGCTGAATTCATTAATACGGTACATGTATGTAATCATATAAATCAACAAAAAATTATCAAAATATATTACTCCACACATGATCAATCTATAGAAAATAACTTTTACTGTGACAAAATAAATCTTTTTGTGTACAACCTGCATACTTCATCAGTTTTCAGTTCTCAAGAGGCCATACCGTAGTGGCTCTTATATCTTGATGAAGGATTTCAAAATACATACTAAAGTGGAGCTCCCACAGAACAATTGATGCGACTGCAAAAAAATAAATACCTGCAAAGTAAAAAACAACAGAACTTTTGAATTGCTATCAGATTCCCTTTCTCCTATATGTAACCCCCCCCCCCCCCCCCTGCCAAAAATTGGCCTGCTTAACCCATTTGCCCAATGGAACCGGGTTTTTCCTGTATTAAAGCTTTGGGAATGAGAAAATGTAGTATTTGAAGGGTTAAATTATTGTCTGTACAAGATCATTTACTGTTATAAAGGCAAGTGAAATCAGATAAGAAAACAGGTTTCATATATCCCAAGTGTAAACGTGCTTCTAAACAAATAAAAAGAAGCAAATTCAAGTTATGTTTCCGTATGAGAGAGTATGTAAAAGGCAGCATTTACTTTTTTCTTCATATTGGTGATTAAATGAAAGATTGAGCATTGCTATATACAGTATACCATTCTGTACATGCTAGATGATACTGACATTGCCACTTTACAGGGGGAAAAAATATACCAATGGGTTGCTAAGGATTAATTTTTTTTGAGTAACTTTAACGACAGCAGCATTGCTCAGTTTCTAATGTATCTTTCAATATGAATATGTAGAGCAGTCTGAGCAGAATAACAAGTATTCTCAAAGTTCATGTGACACGATAAAACACCAACTTCACTTCGTCATTCACACCCACTTTCAAGATCAAGGCAACTTGATGTCACTGTTTGACACATGCTCGGTAATTCAAATTCCCTATTCATTATTTCTATCCACCATGGCTTATGCGACAGGACAAAATGATGCAACGCGAATCCTTGATATCCTCCTTGTAAAGAGAAGTAAAGTCACGGTGCACTCCATACTTGCAGGATGGAACAACAGCTTCCACACTGGTCTCGTATTCACCAGGTAACCTCTATGACAGCTCTACAAACAGCTTCAGCATCAGTCCCTCTATGTTCTTACGTCTCTGTAGCCATCGGGTCAATACATGGTTCTTTCTCACTTTAAGGTGTGATTCTCTCTTGTCCTGGGACTACCCCTGACTCAATCATGAAACAACATCAACACAAACAAATCCCCAAGAGTCTGTCTGTCAGGTAGTAAGCCCCATCACCTGCCTGCTCCGTTTGTGCCAAGTAATATATCTCTTAGTCTCTGGCAGTCTTTCAAGAGTTTGTCCTTATGAATACTTTGCTGCTGTGAGCGAGGATGTATGAGATGAGATCATAATGATTCTAGTCTATCCTTGCAGGCATTAGCCACCACCTCCAAACTGTCCCTATCCAACTCTTTGATCAGGGTGAGTACTGCAGATAGGATACTGGCATTCTGTACGTCAGTGGTAAAAAAAAAAAAAAAAAAAATTAGTGAAGGTAATAGGTGAGGTGTACAAATTAAATTTAAACATAACCTGACAATATTTATAAAAAAAGAAGAGTAGCAATGATATAGAGATCATCTTCCAAAAATATTGATATACAACCAATTTTCAACTGTGAGTACATTCTCGTAGAAAATTCATAGAGTTATAAATGTACTTTCCTTTTTACTTTATATAAAATAACCACAGGAGAGTGGGAAAAAAGTGCAGAACAGAAGAGCACAAAGAGAGAACAGAGAGAGAGAGAGAGAAAAGAAAGAAGAATACAAAAGGAAGAAGGTGATAGTATTTCAAGAAAATATGATTCAGAGGTCAATTCTTCTACTTGGCCAGAATCTTACCTCCTGGAATTTCAGTGTGAAAACGGGAAAAATCCTTTAATAATTAGGTATCTTGGGGACCAGGAGTGGAAACTCTCCTCCCTGCGTGAGTTGGTCAAGTGTTATTTAATGGGTGAGTAAGAGGCAGTAGGGATTCCCTGCCTTCCACTCACACTTGGAAGCTATAATGTGTCTTTTAAAGAGTTTTAGTCTTCCCCATGAATTCTATGTTTTCAAGCTCTACGTTGTCCCTTTATATTTCTAGACTAAAGCGTTCAGTTTTCCATCTTTTCATTAAAGAGTATTGTTAAGTAATTAAAATGGCTAGTTTTCCTCAATATTTTCACTTCTCATATTCTCTGAAGCTGTTTTAAACACTGTTTAAATTTACAAAAGAAAAACTTTTTACTTGAAAGAAGTCTATTCCTCAACCAATTCCAATACATTCCTCCTTTTTTGGAACTTGAATGAACATGAATACAATTAATCTATGATGGCAAGCAATGAGAGTCATTCAAGAATATTCTGCATCATCTAGTGAAATACAGTGTAAATGTACACACACATGCTAGCAAGAAGAATTACAGAGGCAAAGACTAGATAAAATTGATGACTGAATACATAGAAGGAAGTAAAGAAGCTAATTAGATATAAGGTGAATCATTAGCATAATGATGATTATATGTGTACTGTCCTGACAGAAAATTTAAGACTTTGAAAGCGGTAATCTGCACAAATGTTTCCAAAGTTCACCAGTCTTGTTTCACCCTGGTGACTTTTAGACATGCTTATGAATATGGTGCAAAAGTTGATGATGTCTCTGGATCAACCTCCTTATTCATCATTCCATATATCTATTTGAAAGTGTCTGCAAAGACTTCATTAATCCATCTTTTTTCATATCTAGGCAACCTTCATAATTTTGACTGCAGAGAGCCAGACCTTTTTATTCATAAATTTTACACAGATTCAGGGAGTACATCATTTTTCATCTGAAACTGGACTTAGATATTTCAGCATTTCAATCGCTCCACATTGCTACCAGAGAAAGCAAAAAGCACTCTATTAAAGTTGAAAGCCACCCAAGGGGGTGTTTCACAAAGCTTCGCGTAAAGTTATGAATGACTTCACAATGATTTGAATATGAGCCAAATAGGATGCCTAAAGTTTTTCCTGACATTTTAACAAAGGGTGACTGTATTTCCAATAATCCCAATTGAATTGTAGCCAAAAATACTCTTTGCATTAAAATGGTTTGTTATTAGTGATAAGGTTAATCTACATCTGCATATTTCAACTTTCGCTTATGCAATTAAAAGGATTTGACAATCGTATTTAGCTCTTCATATTCAAGTCATTCGTAAAGTCATGCATAACTATACGCACAGCTTTATGAAACACCCCCTGGTTAGTATGTTTAATATGCTTACTTTAGTTTTGTGGCTGCTTATAGTCTTGTGTTTGGCAGGAGAGAGTTTGTCGGATGATAATGGCTTCAGCCCCAGCTGTTCTCTAATTTTACTGTACACAAAAGTTTAGGGGAAAAGGAGAAAGTTGGAAAAATTTGTTAGTTTCATTCAGAAAAAAAAAAAATTCAGTTCAATATACAAAATGCCAATATAAAAAGTTGATGGCATATGAGTCTTTGGGTAAGTAATTCAGTGCATATGCACAAATATATTACTTATCTTGTACATAAACATATTCAATACAGTAATAAAAACTAAAAATACAACACCCCCCAAAAACAAAATACCCAAGACATCCCCCCCCCCCTAAGAAAAAAATAGAGAAAAAGAAAGAAAGAAAAGGCTGATGAGTAATGGTTAAATCAGAACAGTTCACTGACTCTATGAGACACACATGGGGGAAGAGTTTTGGAAGGTAACTGCGTGATTATTTGATGCTATCTCTTGATTTATTCATCAGCGGCCCGCAACATGGCAAGACGGCTTCATCACCTTACGCATCACCTGCTCAATGAATACAGACCAAGGCCAATGCTACCTGGCTTTCTCCATACAAACATTAACATACTAATCGCAACGTATCGATCACCTAAAAGACCGCAGCATTCTCATTTATGTTCTGCAGCTATAATCGTCAACTCTACAGGTCATTTGTTTATATCCTTTTCACATCGAAAATGATAATCAACAAAAGAATAAAATAATATAAAGAAATTCTCTTAAATCTATGAAGAAACATCTACTAGTATATCATAAAATAAAAGCAGATCAAGAAAGAAAAAAAGAGAGATAAGGAGACAGAAAGAGAGAGAGAGTGAGTGAGAGAAAGAGAGAGAGAGAGAGAGAAAGAGAGAGAGAGAGAGAGAGAGAGAGAGAGAGAGAGAGAGAGAGAGAGAGGGGGGGGAGAGGGGGGGGGGGGAGGGAGGTTGGGTGGGGGAAGGGGAGATAATTTAAGATATAAAAATAAAACTAATCTATGTTGAAGAAGTATTCTGATTTTCAAACATTACAAAGCATGAAACAAACCAGAAGCAACAAGCTGTCATTAAATGACATCTTTGGAAGATGTTAACATAGTGCATTGGAAATGTCACAGGTTCTTCTCTTTACAATGCAGAATGAACAAAGTTCTCTTGTTTACACGTCTCAGTGAAACTTGGGCAGCCCCACATCCCTGATTACCATTCCTCAGCCAGATGATCAGAGGGATATATAATGGTAGACCGACGCATTCTCACATGAAGCAATTCAACAACAAGCAAGAAAGAGATATATACTAGATGAAATTGATATAAAGAATCATCGTATATTGAAAGGGGCATACAGACTTTAACAACATGGTATAAAGAAACTAGTTTTGAAGAAGTCAGTTTACAAGACAACTGGCCAAACATAAGTGTGCACTCACAATCAGTCTTGCTCAGTTATTTAAACGATGCTCAAACATGCATTTTGCTATACAATGGTTCTGTATATGACAGAAAAGGGCTTATTACTTATAGTATAGTTAAAGGATTCTCGTATTGTGATACAATTGTTTCTGATTGTCTGAACACGGAAACAGATTTCTCAGGGGTCGACCTTTCTAAACAGTGAAGCAAGAAGACTGTTTAATCCAACTTTATCCTCAAGGTCATGTTCCCAACCAACTTTAAAGTTGGAAAACAAAATGTTGCAATGTTTTTGGTGAAGAAGACAACTTCAAGGCTAAGAACTGAGTAGATGGAAATCTAGTACCCCATCCAATCATCAACTCTATACCGCCTTCACAAACACAACTCTTATTGAATCAGACCGTCTTATCTGCTTAATTACAACTATGTTCCTCTTGAGTGATGGTGTTATTTATGGCTAACAAGCCAAACATGTGTCCAATTACAGGATTCACTCTCATCCAAAGTCATTCTGCACTGTACATGGGGGCATGGTGGGCCTCGCCTAGAAGCGCTTGCTTCACTTAATTTACTTCACTCTCGACTCTGATTGCAATTGCCAGAAGCAATAATGACAATCTAAGACCCCTGTTACACATACGTCTGAAAGTGGACTGAGGCCGGCCCCGGAGTCGGCTCGACGTATGTGTAACACCAACTTTTTTCGAAAAGCCGGACTGAGGCCAGGTGGACTCAGTCCACCTCGGGATGTGGTTTGAGGCCGGCCTCAGTCCCGCAATCGGTATGTGTAACACCAAAAGTGGACTCGGGCCGGCTTATAAGCGGAAGTGACGTAACCTGTATTCTTTGTTTTTATCATTCTATCACTCTCTCTTTCTGTCTTTCCTTATGTTATTCTTTGTTTTTATCATTCTATCACTTTCTCTTTCTGTCTTTCCTTATGTGAAATGTTTTTATCATTCTATCCTTTTTTCTTTCTGTCTTTCCTTATGTTATTCTTTGTTTTTATCATTCTATCGCTTTCTCTTTCTTTCTTTCCTTATGTTATTCTTTGTTTCTTCCTTCTATAACCTTCTCTTTCTGTCTTTCCTTATGTTATTCTTTGTGTTTATCATTCTATCACTTTCTCTTTCTGTCTTTCCTTATGTTATTCTTTGTTTCTTCCTTCTTTCATCTTCTCTTATGTTATTCTTTGTTTTTATCATTCTATCACTCTCTTTTTCTGTCTTTCCTTATCTTATTCTTTGTTTTTATCATTCTATCACTTTCTCTTTCTGTCTTTCCTTATGTTATTCTTTGTTTCTCCCTTCTATTACCTTCTCTTATGTTATTCTTTGTTTTTATCATTCTATCACTTTCTCTTTCTGTCTTTCTGGAGTCCGCCCCAACATCAGCTCGTGAAAAGGCGACGTGAGGCCGGCCTATGTGTAGACGCAAAATTGCGGGCCCGAGATCATGTGTAACAGGGGTTTGATGATCTCGAGGCGGCTTCAAATTGCCGGTGTGAGGCCGCCTCCGGGGCCCGCTTTAAAAGCCGACGCATGTGTAACAGGGGTCTATGTGATGGGAAAATGTGCTCATTAGACCACAGGACCTGCTCATCATGGAATTGTTAGGATGGGAGAGTGTGTATGTGAGAGAGAGAGAGAGAGAGAGAGAGAGAGAGAGAAAGAGAGAGAGTGTGAGAGAGAGGGGAAAAAACAAGAAAGAAGAGTTTACTTAACACATCAATCCCCACAATGGACGATTTACAATGTACAATCTACTATAGTAGTTGTAAAAGTTTCATCATAATTATGCTCCATCAAGTATAGTTTGAATTTCTAGCCAAAATTAAGACAGAAGGACAAACACATAAGCCATGTCCTGATCAAATGGAGAAACTCCCGTGATTCCTTCCATCTTTCAAAACAGTATTCATTTGTCAATATTAGCTCCTTTAGGTAGAATGCAAGTACGTACATCCTGTTTATCTCACTTGATTTCATCTTTGTAGATACTCCATAAGCTATTTTAAAAAATATTTAAAAAAAGAATAGCAATTTCCCCTATGTACATGACTGTATCAATCCCAGCTCTTTTTTAAAAACATTTCAAGAAGTCTGACGGCTGAGGGTTAACCGCCATTCTCTCTGCTTTATCAATTTAATGTCGTGCCCTTGAAACCCAATAAGAGGTAAATTGACTGGCTATGTGCTGCCCCTCTCAAGAAATTAAATTCTCCCTCAGGGGAAATAATCTAATCACTATTCCTCAGTGGTCTTTCATGTTGTGCATGTCAATGTTTCCCCCACTGATCATATAGAGCAAGCATCATCAGCAAAGGACAATGTGACACCTTCCATTACACAAGGGAAACATTCCGTGTACGGGATTAATAGCGGAGTGCCACGCACAAATTGCTGGTAATTCACAGACAATGATTAAGAGCTGTTGATTGAATTGTGACTGATTGGAAAACAAATAGATTCATCATTAATTGATTTGAGGAAGGAGTCGTACAGCTCGTTAACCACTGGAGGGAAGTGGAAGAAAAACAATGATAAACAGTAAATGCTTCATCTAAAATAATAGAAAATGTTCACTTATTGGTATTACACTATTTATTACTGTATTTCCCCCCTCCCCATATATCTTTCACCCCCACATCACATTTTCAGTTTTTATTTTTATTTTAACCATGGCATTATACCTACTACTAATAGCATTCACAAAGCTTTGATTTATTAACAACTTTTTATGAAAAATCAAAAATTTACGAGAGCTGATTCATGGAGCTTGAAATTAGCCATACCATAATCTAATTAGATCTCACACCTGACCCGTGTACAAGTAGTTATGATAACAATTCAAATTGGCAATGGCAACATTTAATTGCCAATTTCTATCCCCCTTCTCCATAGTTACAGTCTCTGCATCAGTGCTATAAAGCCATTTTTATACTTTCCCACAAAAAAGACGCCACATCATGATGACTGTTCATTTGATTTAATTAGAAAATGTTATTGAAACAAAAATCTAATCACTAGGGAACCAGACAATTCAGTAAGTTGTTTTGACTGGCTTGGTTAATACATTTTTTTGGTATCATCTTTCATCCATTTTAAGAGGAAGTTCTCTCATATTTCATTTTTGTTAAACACCCTTGTCTCTCAACATAATGGAAAATCAGATGCAATACAGGTATATACTATGCTAACAAAATAACAAAATAATAATTGGATTAGGTATTAAAGGGGGGGGGGGGTGAATCAGCTATCACTTAAACCTCGTGAACATTTCAGAGAAAATGTTTTAGATGAGTTAAATACGGCGCTATTTCCTGAAGAAATTCCTAATTTTGATATGTAACACTCTGTGCTTATAAAAATAGTTATGGGGTTATACTACAGACACAACAGGGCTATGCTAATGATAAAGGATCAGATTTTAGATGGAATTGCCAGTGTATTGAGCCAGCTTTTAGTTGACCATGGATGTGTTTGGTCCGAAGTGCTCTGCTGAAAAGATGAATACATCATCAGGATGACCTCAGCCATGATGAGGAACGAATCAATCATTACAAAATATATACCCAGTCTAATCTTCCTCCAGCTAAATCCATCCTTCCTGATTTGGTTCTCTAAAGGTAGGGAAAAGTTGACCTAATCATGGACAT